TGATGGCTAGCAGACGGAAGTTCATGGACCGGATACGTAACAGGTATCACCAAATACTGTAATCAATTTTTTTGTCAGCGTGTTTTCCTTCAGTTAGGACAGAATTTATATTTGTTTTTAGAACTGATTGATCGTAGGCATCATTAATCTAGCATAGGCTTATGCACCTTAGATTTTCAGAGGAACGTTATTGTGGATAATTTTGTCAATATTAAATAACATATGAAAATGTATACACTAATTTGCACTGTTTATCACAATAGTGTGCTTTAGGCTCAGATGCCTACAATCAATCAGTTCAAAAATAATTAAATAAATAAATAAAAAGCTTGTCCTAAGTAACAGGAAACAAGCTGACAAAAAGATTTAATTTAAAATTTGTGATAATATTGCAGAAAGAGAGATTTATGAGCTATTATTGTAGACCAGATATTTTGAGCGGGAACACCATAACTGCAACAAGGTGGGGGAAAAATCCCAAGAGAAGTACAAAAATTATCCAAAAAATGTTGGGAAGTTGTTATAACGTGTGAGCAATGTCAGTAAGTTTTAGCTCAATGCGATAACATTAACTTGCATTTTCGGGAAAAATAAAATATTCTCTGGGTCAGAATGATCTGAACACAACATGAGGGTTTAGACAATCTTGTCAGCGTCAAACAGGAAGTGAGTGTGTTTCAAGTTCATTTATATAGCATATTTCATACACAATGGTAATTCAAAGTGCATTACATGAAAAATAAATAAAATATTAAAACAGTAAAAGCAAATAATAAATATTTTTAAATGATTAAAAAATATTTAAAATGAAATAAAACAGTTAAGAATAAAAAAAGGAGGATACATATGATACATTGGGACGTAGCACAGAGCTCATTCAGTAAATGAACAGCTGAACAGATGTGTTTTGAGTCTGGATTTACATATATAAAAGCAGACGCCCTTTGTTTTGAGTGAACCCTTTCTACTGACTGGATCCTAATGATCTGAGTCTGCTATGTTTATGTTCAGTGAGCATATCTGCAATGTATTGAGGTCCTAGGCCATTGAGTGATTTATAAATGCGTAATAATACTGTAAAATCAATCCTAAATGTCACTGGAAGCATATGACCTGAGCACTGGTGTGATATGCTCAGTGATATGTGATATTCTGACATGAAAGGAGCTGCAGCTGTCTAATGGTCTAATGGTTCATGTCAGCTGTGATGTGGTTGGAAACCAGATTGAAATTTGGCTAGGTATCCATTTGAGTTTAAAAAGTTGCCCAGTTGTTCATTTATCAAGAATACTAAAGAAATCTCAAACTCTAAACAAGCAAAAACCCTTAAAGAGACAGAACTTCACTGTCTGACGTCACATTGGTTGATGAGAATATGGTCATGAGCTGAATGTTGTGAACCTCAGTGGTTGAAAGTGCTTCTCTGGGCAGCAGTGAATCCATCAGTGAATCGACTCTCGTATCAGTTCACGAGTCCTGTGACGTTATTGTGTGTGTTGATGTTAAATGACGGAGAATCTCCACCATCAGTTCTCATGGATGAGGATCAAAACACAGAAAAACACGTTCAGTTCAAACTCTAGACATGTTTCAGTGATTTGCATTGTGTTGAATAAATGGAAATGCTTCATATCTGTGTTTCTTCTGTTTTTAGTGCTGATGTCCTTCCTCCACGCTGGACTCACTCATGGTACTGTGCAGTATTGCATTACAATTGATTTATTAAACAATTATGAATCCTGTTGTAGTAGTTTATTTGTCTACATGGATCACACCAGGGGCCTGTACCATGATGGTAGTTTAAAGGTCCCATGGCATGAAAATTTCACTTTATGAGGTTTTTTAACATTAATATGAGTTCCCCTAGCCTGCCTATGGTCCCCCAGTGGCTAGAAATGGCGATAGGTGTAAACCGAGCCCTGGGTATCCTGCTTTGCCTTTGAGAAAATGAAAGCTCAGATGGCCCAATCTGGAATCTTCCCTTTATGTCGTCATACGGGGAAAGGTTACCTCCCCTTTCTCTGCTTTGCCCGCCCAGAGAATTTGGCCCGCCTATGAGAAAATGAGCTACTACCGTGCGAGACGAGCGCAATATATTTTTTTTCCTCGAGACATCATGGCTTGCAAACGAGCGAAGCACGGCAGTTGCACCGCCTCTCTCCTCCTCATTAGCATTAAAGCTACAGACACAGAAATGGCACGTCCTAAGGAAAGCTCATTGTAGGACTGGCTCGTAGTGGCTGAAATTCTGCACCAAGGCTGAATTTCGGGAAAGAGACTTCAGATACAGTACTAGGGACCACTTAGGCCTATATAAAAGCATCTAAAAAGCAGCATGTCATGGGACCTTTAACAAACTCAGAGTTACAGGATTAGTTTAGAGTTGACAAAACCAAACCACTCCAATCCGTCTTTTTTGGTACCATGATGCTGATCATAAACTTTCTTTGTCAACTCTTTGATCCTGAGTTTGTGGAGCGTGTGCACATGATGGTGAACAGCCAATCACAGAGCAAGTGTGATTCACTTCTCGCGAGATCCAAAACTAATTTGCTAAAGGTTAAGAGATTGAAGATTATGAGGAATTTAAACACATTTACACTGAAGAAAGTACTTGTCCATGAAAGAGGACAAATAACAGAAGTGATCTTGCTCTATCAGTGCAGTCACAAGTGAAACTTGTGAATATAGTTGATCATATATAGTGATAGAGACTCAAACATGTAAGGTCACATGTAGACATTTTTAAAGTGTTATCAATTGATTCTACAGCTTATTTATTTTACTTATGATCAGTATATATTAATATTAATTTAAATTAAATGCTTTATAATTATTGTTGAACTAAAATAGTTTGAGCGTAATGGATTAATACTAATATAAATCACATAATAATTATATAAATCATATAAAATATTTCTAAGTGATTATCATTTAAGACAATTTTGTTGTTAATTTTAATTTTTTATTTTTTTACTTACTTTCAGTTTGTCAAATAAAGTAACTAAATCAGCCATAAATCAGAAAAGAAATACAGTACTAAAACATGTTGATTTTCTGCTGCATTTTGCTTTAATTAAAAGTCAGTCAGTGTGTATTTGCTGATGCAGTGATGTTCATGCATGTGTGCTATTGCTAATGGCTGGATTATTTCACTTAATTCAGTTCCAGATACACAAAGTATTTGAGCAGCGTTTAGTGTAATTTTATATTAAGAAATATCCTTTGGTTAGTGAACTAAAATGGAAAATGTTCACAGTAATAATGTGAAGTAAATATTAATGTAAATATTAGTTTTGGAAATTAAACTTAAATGGTTTAAAGCAATTTACAGTGTTAGAGGGTTTTTATAAACAGACAGAAATAAATAAATAAATAAGAGTGACCAATAAAGTGAATTCAACACTGCATCACTGTACACTCACAGATAAACCGCAGCCGACTCTGACTGTAAAACCCCAGAGTTCAGTGTTCACTGGAGACACAGTTACTCTGAGCTGTGATGTGGGACAGTTAACTGGATGGACAATTCACTGGATTAAAGACTCGAACCCTGAATATTAAATTGTTTACTCATTTACAGACAGAAATAAATAAATAAATAAGAGTGAACAATAAAGTGAACTCAACACTGCATCACTGTACACTGACAGATAAACCGCAGCCGACTCTGAGTGTAAAACCCCAGAGTTCAGTGTTCACTGGAGACACAGTTACTCTGAGCTGTGATGTGGGACAGTTAACTGGATGGACAATTAACTGGAGAAAAGACTCAAACCCTGAATCCACGGGTGATGCAACTAAAACAATCAAGTCTGTGAGCGTCTCTGATGGAGGAGTGTACAAGTGTATAGCAGAACGAGGAAACTCCTACAGCGAGTACAGTAATGCAGTTACGATAACAGTAAAAGGTCAGCACTCTCTATACACTTTCTATACTTTTTTTAATGGAAGACAACTTTGTGTTTGTTAGAAAACATGTACTGTCATACATTAACAATGTCAGTTAAACTAAATATCAAATAAAATAATAATAGGAACTCAGTCACAAGCACCAACATACTCACAGATGAGTGACGGAGTTACACTGACAGTATCAGGTGAGAGCTTCAGTCTCAACATTGAGGCTAAATGTGCAGAATATTTTTTTTCAAATAGACTACAGTATTAAAAACATGCAGACAGAGAAACGTAAAAAGTAGTTTTAGAAGTAAATGAGATGTGTGCTACATAGAAAAGAGGTGTTGTGTCGTCATTAATGATCACACTGAAGCTCCAAAAGCAACTGCTTACTCTTTTACTAATGCTTTCAAACTTATGATGTGTGATATATTTTCAGAAATGTTTTATGAGAAATGTAAAGTTCAAGGTTGAAAAACTCATATTTACTTCAGCGTTTAAAATGATTACCACTTGCATCTGATCTTTTCATTTTTGGCATTCATCTGCAAACTGAAATGTGATTGGTTTGACCTTTTTACAAATAATTGACAATCTATAGCCAGCAATGACAAAGTGACAGAACCAAAGCCTTAGACCTGAGACTTTAAGATTATTCTTTGCAACCTTGTAAGCGCTGGGATTTCCTTCTAGAAATAAATAAAGAAACAATATTATTATGTGCAAAACAAAATATATAAATACAAATACAAAAATAAATATATGAGAATTGTTACATCCCTATGATGTATGTATTTAAAGAGTAATTGTTGAGGTGTGTTTTTCCACCCTTTTGGGTGTGGTTATGTGTCCCCTGTGTGTGTCCCCTGGGGGGGTAACTTAAATAGTTATCTGGTAAGTTAATACATCAAAAAGTAAGTTGTATCCCTGTTGACTAGCAGTGTGCGCGGTAACCACATAGTGTATGTAAATTAACTTTTATATTTATTTTCTTGTTAAGGTATTAAAAGGTACTGTAACTTATTTTGGTTTATTTGATTTATGCTTAGTTTGGAAGCTGTAGGGAGAGGGTGCCATTTTATTTTGTACTCATGTCTATCCCTGTTTTTGGTTAGTGAGGGAGTTGAGGAAAGCTTATGTTGCTGATTTCTTTTCTTTTACTCAAATAGGTTATTTAGTCCTCCTCCTGTTAGTCAGCTGCTCTTTTGGTTGTGGTTTTGGCCGGGCTCTCTCCTGAAGACATTTATTGCTTCCATGATTCTGGCTTTCCTAAATAAATTAAGTTTGCCAAACTAGGTGGTTTTTGCATTTTTCTGGAGCAGAGGACTGGAGTGATTCCTCCACGTTTGTATTGATTTCTTCTGACTTTTATTGACTTCTTTCTTTATTGAATTCAACACTGCATCACTGTACACTCACAGATAAACCGCAGCTGACTCTGACTGTAAAACCCCAGAGTTCAGTGTTCACTGGAGACACAGTTACTCTGAGCTGTGATGTGGGACAGTTAACTGGATGGACAATTCACTGGAGAAAAGACTCAAACCCTGAATCCACGGGTGATGCAACTAAAA